AGCAAAAAGCAGCCCCTGAGTCCCGTGCCCAGCTACCTCGGTCCCTGGCTGAATATAGTGACAGCTTATATCGTTTTAGGAGCTCTGGTGCCATAGTGCCTAAGGCATTTGGCTGCTAACCAGAAGGCTGGCGGTTCAAACCCACCAGCTACTCCTCAGAAGGAAGACTGGGTAACCTACTTCCATAGAGATACTGTCTCCAAAACCCAAGAAGGGGTTGCTATGAGTCAAAATCAACTCAACGGCAGTGAGTTTGGTTTTTTTGGTTTTATATTGGTTTACAAAACTTATGGTTTATTCCTCCCTCCTAAGAATTACCTTCCTCCTCTCCAAAATACCTTCACTCAGTTTCCATTCTCTTTCCTCAGCCTTGCCCCTTTCATAATTTGCTATGAGATCTCAGAAAAATCAACTCGATGCTCTGCATAACAGCTTCCTCATTCATAAAATGAGACACACAATCCAGACAGCTCTTCCTAACTGGTGGACCTTTGCACATTGTTGCCCTGATGACAATGAGAAACTGACCTCCTTTGCAATGGGGCAGTTGAAAGAGAATCCTCTGGCCCATTATCTCTGGCCATGAACACCCTTGTTTAGGGTTCCTCAGGGAAGCCTGTGCAGAGCTAAGTCTAGGGTGTGTGAGAAACAAGCAGTAAACACAATGGACATTAAGCAGCTCTGGTGATGTAGTGCCTAAGGCATTTGACTACTAACCAGAAGACTGGTGGCTCAAACCCACCAGCTACTCCTCGGAAGGAAGGTTGGGCAATATACTGCCATAGTGATACCACCTCGGAAACCCAAGGAGGGGTCACTATGAGTCGGGATTGACTCAACAGCAGTGAGTTTTTGGTTTGGTAGTTCCACATGTGTGTGTGGCCAAGCAGACATCTTGCCACATGGGCATCTTCAAAGCACCCCCTTGCCCATGTGGACCAAAGACTCTGGGGCTGCTGGAATAGTTGGCAACCCAGGTGTTCAATGGGCACAGCACACAGCCTGGGAGGTAGTCTGTCATGAGGTGAGAGAGAGAAGCCTGGACAGAGCAGAGTTCCTAGTGAGCTTAGCTCCAGTGGCCATTAATATTTGTCTTAACGTACAGTAGCTATTACTGTCCCTTTGCAGCCAATGTACCCTTTTAGTGGTGCCCAGGCTAGCTGTTGACAATGCATTCGTGTTCTGAAAACTAGAGCTTCAATGTGGCCATCTTGATATAAAATTGTACTATTGGATTTGAAATTCATTTGCATTATCATAGGAAATTACAACATTACATTTGTCAATAAAAGGAAGAATTATTAGATTCTTTAAATGTAATTACAATTGTGAAATTTGAATGGTTGTATAAAACGATTTTAAATATTTTATCACCTACTTATGTGATTGGAGTCCCTCACTGACGATGACTATTCAGAATATGAAGAGTTCATCATTTAAAAGTCTGCAACAGAAACTGCAGAAAGCCATTTCAACCATAAACCTAATATCAAAATACTATATTCACAGGAATAAGTTCAAGTTGGTCATTTAAACAGGTGAAAAAAATGTATTTGAAAGTTTTATGCAAATTCAGTATTTAAGGTCTTTCCTATACTTTATGGGAGCTCTGGTGGTGTGGTGCCTAAGGCATTTGACTGCTAACCAGAAAGCTGGCAGTTCAATCCCCCCAGCCACTCCTTGGAAGGAAGACTGGGCAATTTATTTCCGCAGATATACATCACAGAAACCCAAGGAGGGGTCGCTATGAATTGGAACCGACTTGACGGCAGTAAGTTTGGTTTATTTTAGTTTAATACTTTATATTTTATAT